TTGCCATCACTGAGTGAATGTGTTTGAAAGGGCGAATGTGCCATGTAGTGTAAAAGCGCTTCGAGTGGTCGGAAGACTAGAAAGGCGCTAAACAAGTACAGGTCCATTTACCATTTAAATGCTATTGTTTGTGGTTCACGTTTGATTAATAGACGAATAAAGAAATAAAGTAAATATTATTACCACAGATGAAGTGGGCAGTATTAGCAGATTGTCGGTATATTTTAGTGAAAAGCAGAAGAGGAGGGAACTGCAAGCCAGGTGTTTCATGGAGTTTCTTCATGGAGTGCACAAACCTCTGAAAAGGTTTGTGCACTCTCAATTTAAAATCAATGTTTGTAAAACTATACAATCTACACAGTTAATGTCTAGAGTCAAATATTATATAAGTGGTTTTGTGGTGAAATATCACATGGACAATCAGGACCATGTGTCAGCCAAACCACTGACGGGGAAACAAAAACGGATGTCTTTATGAACAGTGACTTCTGGATGACACGGTGGCCCCTCAAACAGTACATTAAAGTCTCACTGGATTCATAAAAAGGAGGCTGGCAGGCTAATTCAGGACAGGAAGACTGCAGGCTCACAAACGCAAGCCTAACCGACTGGAGTGCTGGCTAGTTACTAGCAGGCTGGGGTGATGGCAGGTGTCTAGCTTGTTGGAAGATAGCAGGCAAAGGGGCAGACTGGAGGCTTTCATGCTGGTTGCTAACATGCTGCAGGCTAACTGACCAGGAAGCAGAGGAGGCTGGAGTGACAGGTGCAAGAAAAACAGGAGGTGGAGCAAAGCAAGTGTGTTACTTCCATCTGTACAATGCCTGTATGTTGACAAACTCAGGATCCCACTTTCAAAACACAGTGAGGGACTCCTCACTGTAAAGAAACATCCATAGTCATTTCAAAAGCAGTCCATGAAAAAGGCAGGTTGGGCTTGGACTTTTTTGGTCAGTTCATTCTCATAGCTTAGGAAAAACTGGTTTGGACTCAAATGCAACACAGTACATGCAACAGGATGTTTTTGGCGATTTAATGAATATAACTTACAAGCAGGTGTATGTAGAGGCAGGCAAATAAATGGGTATAAAAGTGTTATTTGTCACCCCAATAACCGAAACTTGCAAATGCCTTAACTCAACACTCAAAAATTCCCTTTTCACCTCTCCTTGTACAGCAGCAAAAATTAACATGCAAAAAATGCTAACAACATATATTTAGATTTTATGTCTACATCCAGCAAACATTTGCAAAAAGTGGACAAATGTTTTAATAAGTCCTATTAATAGGCCCTGATAATGCCCATCATTACAACAATCTGAATGGTAATCAACAATCTGAATGAACTGTAATGCTGCTGTATTTATAAAATCAAAACATCAGTGGTACAAACATATTTCATTAATTCTAAATCATTTCAGATTTTTTTCAACCATGTGTAACATCCATAGAGCCACATATATTTCAGTGTGAAAATACAGTTTGACAAGAACAGAGGTACCAGTTTGAATACAAGGAATAAAAAATAAATGACATCTTGCTTATTAAATAAAATAAAAAAAATAGATAAAACAGAGAAAAAAGAGAAGAGTTGAATTTTTGCTTTTAAATAATTCAGTCCCTCTTCCATTGTCCCACCATCTTGCCTTAACTGGTAGTGCGGTCTGGTCGCGCTGTTTAAGGCAAAATAGATATAAAACACGTAATATCTAAAGGATCTACCCTGTAATTGATAGAAAATGCATGTTTCTATCAATATACAAAGTATGCACGTAGTTTTAGCCAGATTTGGTTGAGAAAGAACAGAACTTGGCAAGCGTGGTGCGAGGGGTGCTTTGCTTCTACCTCTTATTGAACTTGACTCCCAGAGTTTCTCTCCCACAGTAACAGCAGCTGGCTGCCTGCTTGGGGCTCTAACTCCTACATGAGACAAAGAGATGTGAAAAAGTTTAAAATGCAGTACTCGTTAAAGTGAAAGAAACTGACTGAAGTTTCTACATAAATCATAGAGCAAGGCAAATGCATCACTCACTGGACAAGACATGACACTATCAACCTGATATTTTCAACTGACCAGCTAAATGTGATATTTACAGGATGAAATGAAAATTCTTTCCAAGAATTAATATTGCTAAACTTTCTGTAAACTGCTTAAGTTTACACAGTTGTAGCTTGAGTTTACACTGTCCAATCTGCCCCAAACTTCCCATGTTTGATAAGAGTCCCAGCCTGAACACATCTACATGCCACTAGCGCTACCTACTAGAAACAGGAAGTAAGATTTATGACAATCTCATTTATCTGAAATTTCCTGGCGCAGGACACAACCGCAGCACGCCCCAACACGCAGACTGTAAAGCTTTAAAATGTTTATTAAATTTAGAACACTAAACATAACTATGCATTAATGTTTGCTGAAAATAGTATGTTTTAGGTTTCATATCCGAGAGAGGCTGTGTTAAAAATGTGTTATTTGTCTTTTGCTTGTAACTGTATTTAAAAATCCTCTCCACTCAAAATTTGTTATGTCCCCTATAATGACAGACCTTAACTTTGCTTGTATCTGTGCAAAGTTTGTCACTAGAGAGGCGTTTTCACATTCCTCTATGTCTGTACACTCCCCTAAAATCTGAGATTCAGACATGGACAAGCGAGATTTGGTACATGACAAATTTGTATGTAGACCGGGCCCTGGAGCTTCCTTTCATGATCTATTACGTAATAACAATGTGAACCCACTGTAACATCGCAGCAGATATTATGTTTTGCAATCATTAACTAGCGACCCGATCCCGGATAAGCGGATGAAGATGAGAGATGAGAATCACTAACCATTAACAGTATTTAATTAGGGGACAGAGCTTCCGGATCTGTGAAGTAAAGCTAATGTGGAAGAGTCTATAACCTAAGTAATAAACAAACTACAGTCAAAAATCTGTTAAATTTTAAATGAGAAGAGGCCTATTTTGTCAGTCTAGGAGGAGTTCCTTGGTGCGTGTAAAAATACAGTTTGGGCAGACTTGAACTTGGATTTTAAATTGTACAACAATACCAAGAAACCAAGAAGAACCAGAGGAAATAAACATGCAGTTTGTTTTCTTGATAATGATTAAGTAAAGTTCCAGTTGACTTCCTACGGTTATAGCTTCCCCACTAATGTTACTGGTTAATAAAAAAGTAATCATTTCATGTGTTTCCTCAGACTTCTCCACTGTCAAGCTGGTTTACCAATAACTGTCCCAGGGCTCCAGGTTCACTATGCAGCAATTAGTTTGTGGCAGTTTGAATTTCAAAAATGTAAATTAAAAGAACAATATAAACTTAAATAAGGGCCTTGAAGAAAGGCACTGTGTCACAATAAAGTTTGATATTCTTTAAGGTTTAAAAATATGTGGACACTTGGGCCAAAAATATAAGAGTAACAGTATCAGTAATGTGATAAATTACAGTTAATACTGAATGAGACAGACCTAAGTGAAATGCTAAGAATAGTTGTTGGAAGATGTTGAGCAGCCCTCTTTTAATGAAAGGCTACATTCAGTAATAGACAGCTTCTTACGAAATAACAGAAAAAGACTGAAAACACACAAGAAAAGCAGACATGTAGGACCTGCTTGGCAAAGTTATGAATATGTATTTAAACTATGAATTGGCATTTCTCATGTGTTTTCCTGTATTTCAGTTATGATTTACAGTAATTATTTCAGTTGTCAATTGTTGAATGTGTCCTCTTCTTCTGTCAGTTGTACCTTATGTATTCACCGTGCTCTCACCTGTCCGTCCCTGCTGATCTGGACCTTCTTGTTGTCGTTCCATGGGTTGAGAATGTGTTGGGTAGAATGGAAGGGAAGACTCTCCTGGTGGATCCACTTTACACTGAAAACCCCTCCTAGTCCCATGAAGCCCCAGTCTTGGCAGCTCTCCCGACTAATGACTGATGTCATGTGAGCGTAGCCCTGTAAAAAGGCAAAATACATCAGTTCAGTTTTTTTCAAAGATCCACATTTATATTGCACTTTTACAGTAGGGTCGATATTCCGGCACATATGGTCTAAATTATGATCACAGATTACATACAGCATGATGCAGTTGTTGTGTGTTGTGTTTTGTTACCTGGAAGTGTCCTGAGCCCTGAACAGAGAAGATGAGGACGATGAGGTTATTTTCCAGGAACGCCTTGGTGATTTTGGTCTCATTGCTTGGTGTGGTGGACCAGATACCTTTCTGCTGAGAAATTTCTATGTTCCGGATGTTGCTGCTCTTCATGATGAAGTACCGCACTGACGAAAAGACCAGCTGAGATAGCTGAGGCCTTGAGACCTGCCGAGAAAAAGGATAAAAATGAAAACATAGCTAAACTGACAAAAACATCCATTCATTGAAGATAGTAACATGTAACTAAAATAGTAACTAAAAACAGCACATAACATAAACTGCAACAGTTTTAAGAGGAATGTCTCAATATTTCTATAAACAAAAATGTATACATCTGAATACTTTATAAACACACAGATTATATCCTAATATAGCAAAAGAGCAAAATAAATAATCAGGAGGATCGACAATGCATGGGAGACAGTGAATACCTTTCCTGAGGAGGAGGGACAGGGGCTATCCAAGTTCACAAAACAGGAAGAATGGCTGGAGCAGTGAGGGTCATCAGAGAGCTGATTTATGGGCATTGAGGGCTCATCTCTGCTGTGGGCTTTTATCTGAAGCTGGTCCAAGGCTGCTGTCCTACAAGACCTGAGGAGAAGGAGTGAAATGTATGCAACATTTGAAACTGTATTTCACAGATTGAAAATGAATCTCATGGTTTGAAACTGAATTTAACTCATATTGCTCTCAATATTATTTTAATTTGGGTGGAGTTAGAAATTCAGTTTCAAGAGGCACTCATCTGGAATACTCTAAACTAGAATAGGAGAGTGCCAATTCAGTCCAACTCCTTTAAACCCAGAAAGCCTTACTGTTTAAACAAGCCCACAGTAAGGCTTTCTGGGTATGTCATGGCTAGCCCTTCACAACTCATTAGCACTTTGTAGAGCACATGCTGGAATAAAGCCTTACTTGGGTCTGGTGACATGTAAACTGAGATCCGATCAGTTAGTGTTAGCTAACCAGTGATGCGCAAACCACTAACTTTATGCATTATAGCACAATTGTCAGGAATGAGCACTGTGGTGCCTCTCTGTTTATCAGTTCTCACCCCATTGATGTGTACATGCAGCGTGGCCACAGAGGCAGCACAGACTGGCCCCTTTAGATTCTGCTTGTAGGAACTAATGACTACAAGAGGGGATTAAACTTATCGGCGATGAACTGATTAGTCTGGATGTCCATGTTTTTTAAATCTGACTGCCTCAGCTACTCGAAGCGCGAGAAATAGTTAAATTCAAGAACTGTGGATTATTTTTTTAGTAAGTGCAGAAGACAATGTAGACCTACACATGTAGTGTACTAATTTGTTAAAATTCACTGTTAAATCTAGTCTGTCTTGGTTTTTAATAATGCAAATAACCTGTGACTTTCCCAATTTGTGTTTTTTAGTTTTTGTTGGGTAAAATTTATCTGTTGAAAATATTCGAAAGAATACATCAGCTATTACCACTTTCTTGTATTCTTTTTAATTAACACATAATAATAACAATAGTATTTGAAATTAGATTAAATGGGTTTAGGTTGTCTATTAGGGTTGTTGTGAGCTTCTCTAGGTTTGCATGGTCTGATAACAAATTGAGCCAATGGTTTATTGATAGTTTAGTTCTGTCTTTCCAGTTGAGTAGTATGGTTTTCTTGGTCATACACTGTGTTCCAAATTATTATGCATATACTGTTTTTGTTCTTTTTCTTACTAAATAGTCGATATAATTGGCAGTCAATAGGATTTTTTATTCCTCAACAATTATATCGTAATCTGGATTTTATTAAA